TTGACCTCTCCCTCATTGCATATTTTCCTTCCCGTCACCCAAGGGGGACATATTTGATTTAAAGGCTAAAGCATCTCCCCCAGAGTTTTTCACTTGGGGAACTTTTGGGTCCCTGACTGCAGGCTGGGACAATGGCACCCATGGTGGAAGGGTGAGCGATCCCAGGGCCCGAGTATGAGGCCTGGGGCAGGTGGAGCCTAGCTGTCACAGGCTGGGGAGGCCTGCTCTGGGCCAGCTTTGCGGAGGCACAGGGGTTACTGATGACGTGAGGGCCCTGGAAACGGGCAGCCGGTCGCCTAGCGACCCGGTCTCTGCTGGCAACAGCTCTGCTTTTCCTAGCAACCACTGCCTTTTGGCCCCCACCTGGCCTCCCTGGGGGCGTTTCTCCAGAGTTCCCTGCACATCCCATCAATCTGATTAGAGGCAGGAAGGACCAGGCAGTTAGTGTGCCACCAGCCAGACTGGCTCCGCCCTGGAGCTGGCCTCAAAGGCACGGGGCTGGCCAGGGGTTCTCCAAATTCCCCACTTGCGTGCACTGCCTTGGACCTAGGATGAGTGTCACAGCCCCCAGCTGAACGTTGGCACCATGGGCATCCCCGTCGGCAAAGACAGCGAGACCCAAGTAGGTGCTTGCCATTCCCTGTGGGCCCTCTCCTTCCCGTCTTCCTTCTTGGGATGCTGGGGCGGAGTCTGCAAAGGTGAGAGGATCTTAACTTGGGGTCACAGCCTGCTAGGTGGCTTAGGGGAGGCTGGTCAATGCTCACAAGCTGACTGCCGCTGCTGCCCCCAGGCCATTAGCTTAGTCAGCCGGGGGGGGGGGACGCTCTGAGATGCCCACCTCAGCCAGCCTCTGTCTACTCCTCTGCTTGGAAATCCCCGGGACTTGGGAACTTGCCTGAAGCTGCTGACCTGCTGCTTCTGGGCTACGCAAGAGGGGGTCTTGGCAGGCACTGGGCACTCACTGAGCAGGGATAATGTGGCTCTGGTACGAGGCCTCCCAATAGCTCCTGGTGATGCTGACAAGGTTACTGCTAGGCTTGCCATGTGTCCTGACAGCTGGGGAAGTTTGTGCAAAACATTGCCCAGTCCACGTGGTGGTATCATAACCCAGCAGATATTTGCCTCCTCTGAGATTAAAAATGACAATGACAAGAACAACAATAATCATTCACTGCTGCCATTTGGTTATTGACACTTTCCCTCCATGCCAGACACTGTGCTAAGGACACCCTGAGTAGCAGATTCTATTATTAATCCCATTTCACAGATGAGAAAACTGAGGTTCAAGACGTACCTGCATGTCGAAGGGTGCCCTGCCAGGGAGTGCAGAGCTGGGATTCTATCCCCAGGGGGGCCAGTCCACAGTAAAACCTTTGTACAACACACGAGGAAAGCTGCTTACTTTTTTTTTCTTTTTCTTTTTATTGTGATTTAGGTGAAAGTTTACAGAGCAAATTCATTTTCCATACAGCATTTTATACACATTTTGTTTTATCACATTGATTGCAATTCCCCACCCACCATGTAATAGCTCTCTTCTCACTTCCTCCCCATGGTTACCTCTTCCCCGTGTCCTTCCCTCCCATGCACTCCTGTCCCCTGAGCTGCCTCCCTGTGCATGCACTGCCCTCCTGTTCACCCACGATTGATTGCTCTAAGGAGTATATCTACCTGATGTAAATGTTCAGCCCAAATATGGCTGTCTGTTGTTTGGCTGGAAGCCGCAGGAGTGAGTTCAGTTCCAGACCTGAAGGATAACTAGGGACCATAGTCTCAGGGATTCTCACTAGGCTCTATCAGACCAACAAACCTAGTCTTTATGATTTTGAGTTTTGTTCCACATTGTTCTCCCGCTTGTCCAGGGTCTCCTGCACCGAGCCCCCTCCAAGGGGTTGACAGCAGTAGCTGGGCACCATTGCTTACTGTTTTTGAGACAGGAATCATGAGAACAACAACTGACATGGGAAGTCCTTTTTGATTTTTCCACGAGGTTCTCACTGGCCCTTTGAACCCCTCAAATAGGTCAGCCCGCACACGTTGGGCAGATCCTGCCCCATTTGACAGAGGAGCAAACAGAGGCAGCCCAAGGGCCTCCCGGTGACTTGCCCAAGCCAGACAGTGATTCCAAGGCCCATGCTGGAATGAGCAGAACCCCAGGAAGCCTCTGGCCAGGCTAGTGAGTGGTTCAGTTCCCAGGAGGCCTGTGGCTGGTGGGTGAGCAGTTCATTTCCCAGGCCTTTGACCCCTAGGCCCAGAGAGCTGAGGAGGGCTGGTGTCGGTGGTGCAGAGGGAGCATCAGGGCGGCCTCTCCCAGGCGACGGCCCATCTCCAGGCCTTCTGTGCGGGGCCAACTTTCCCTCTGGGCACAACAGGCCCAAGACCCACGATGCTTATAACTCGTTGCCGGCGAGTTGGCTCTGACTCAGGGCGACCCTGTGCGTCAGAGTCACCTCCACAGAGTTTTCAGTGACTGGGTTTTGGAAGCTTTTCCCAGACTTTTCTTCCTAGATGCTCCGGGTAGACTCCAGACTCCAATCTTTCGTTTGGTAGCTGAGTACATTAACCGGACTGCCAGGGATTCCGCAATACTTTTAGGGGGCCCACAGAAAAGACTTCAATTCCTTTTAAAATCAGAAGAAAAAATGACCTTTTAGATTGAAGAGAGTGTTTTAATATATCATGTTAATACACTAATCTTCATGTGAATGCAGTCATAAAATAAAATTCACTTTTTTTTTTTTTAAATGATGGAAGGGGACTTTGAAGGCTGCTGAGTCCAGGGCTATGAAAATCATTCCATGGCCCTACTTTAAGAAAATCAGTTTCCTCCTGGGCAGGGTGGGGAGTCTTGTTCTGAGAGTTCGGGCCCCCACAGTGGACATATCTATATAACGGAGAGGAGGAAGGTGAGCTGGGCTCTGGGATCCGACAGCTGCCTTCCTGCTCCACATCACGTGGGCCGTGTGGACCCTCCGAAGCAGGTGTGGAGCAGGGTGTTAACGACACGGCCTTTGGGCAGTAGTGGTCATTGGAGGCTCATGTGTCGCTGTGATGCTGAACAGGTTTGAGTGGAGCCTCCAGACTAAGGGAGGAGGAAGAAAGGCCTGACAGTCTACGTCCAAAAAACTCGCCAATGAAAAAACCCTCTGGATCATCATTGTCCAATCTTACTGTGCAAGGGGTCTCCATGACGATGGCTAACAAGAGTAAAATCTCCAAAATGCAGCTTAAACAAAGCGCACTACTTGGGATCAGAGACACCAGAGTTTCACCTAGGCTTGTCCTTGCACAGGCAGTGTGAGGGGAACAGGCCATCTGACCTCTCTGGGACTCTGTTTTCTAAGCTGGAATGGGACAAGTCATAGCCCAGGCTTGCAGGGTTTTTAGGGTGGGGTTTCGGGAGATTCTGTGAGCAAAGTGTTTGGCCCAATGCCTGGCATACTCCCGTGGGCACTGCTGTGGCGAGTGATTACCGCTGCTTCCTGTTTCCTGGTCTGCAGGCTCTGAACCAGGGGGCAGTCCCATGTGCCCATCTCCTTCCCATCCTCAGCCCTCTAGGCAGTGGGTGATGTATGCTGTGATGAATCGGAGGTTTGCTGGGTGGCAGACACATGTGTGTCATCTTCCATGAGTCCTTCTGGGGCAGGGACCCTTGGGTGGGATGGGACCATTAGGAAGTCAAATTCAATTCTAACTGCAAAAATCACATTAGCCCCTGGTTCTGAGTCATCGTTTAACCCAGAGGTCATGCTTGGGCATCCAAGGGCCCAGTTTAGCCTGGAGACTAAATTGTATGTGTGAGTGTGTGTACATACGTGCATGCTCACATGTATATGTATGTTAATTTGAATTAATTATCAGTATCTAAAGATCAGAAGGAGCCCTGGTGGCGTAGTGCCTAAGACACTTGACTGCTAACCAGAGGGCTGGCAATTCAAACCCACCAGCCACTCCTTGGAAGGAAGGTTGGGCAATCTACTTCCATAGAGATACCATTTTACCTAAAAACAAACAAACAAAAAACCCCCTGAATTTCAGGCTCCTTTTGAAATTGGAAGATTTGGCCAGCCTGGGCCTCATTCTAAGCAGATGGGCACAGGTTCTCTGATTTGCCATAGTCTCCCGCACTCCCCATACCTCACCCCTGGCCTCTGCCACGCAGGGACTGCCTGAGCCTGGGCTGCCTGCCTCCCTCAGAGGTTGCATTGTGGCTCTGATGTCACAACATGGAAAGAAGCAGGCACTGGTTTGAGCTTTGTATGGTTTGCAACAGTTTGCTGTGTGTTTTTGGACAGGTCCATTGACCTCTCTGGGAGCTCTGGTGGTGTAGTGCCTAAGGCTTCTGACTGCTAACCTCAGAAGGCGGTTCAAACCCACCAGCCACTCCTCGGAAGGAAGACTGGGCAATCTACTTCCATAGAGATACCACCTTGGAAACCCAAGGAGGGGTTGCTATGAGTTGGAATTGACTCGACAGCAATGCATTTGGTTTGTTTTTTGACCTCTCTGGGCCTTACTTTTCTCATACTTCCTGCCCTGCCTGAATCACCAAGGTTACCTGAGACTCTCAGCTGGGAAATGCTGGGCATGTACTCTCTACACCATCAGTGCCCTTTGGGCTACATCCCAGGATAGTTCCTCAAACCGTCCTCCACACTTTTCTTCACACGTGCTGTTCCCCCTCCTGGACACCCTTCCTCACCTGTTCACCACGGTAAACTCATCAGCCTCAGGCCCAGTTCACTGGCCACCTCCTGTGGGAAGCCGTTCTTCCCAGGTAGGGCTGTGGCTGTGTTCCAGTACCTGTCTCAGCCTCAATGGCAGTTAGTAGGGCCTGGGGTCTGCCGCCTGACTGTGCTGGGAGCCTTCTGAGGGTAAGGACCTTTCTTTGGGCATTTCTGTGACCCCTGGCTCCTGGCACAGAGCCTGACACTCAGCAGGGTTTAGGAAGCCTTACCACCCCTAACCCTAGCCTTTTGTTCTGTCCCTTGGGGTGGCAGTGTCCTGCTGGATAGCTATCTGGTGGGGGAAGCCGGCGCAGACCAGAGTGAAATAGGCGGGACCCAGCACCGGAGGGCCTCACACCAGGTATGGAGAAGCCCTTTGGGCCCCACAGACCAGGTGCCAGGCTGGCATGGGGAACACCTGAGCCCAGGGCTGGTGTCAGCAGAAGGGGCTGGGACCCTATCTACTTTGTTTACAGGGGGACTTTCAACTGGTGAGATGCCCACAGGACAGGGAGGAGGCAGAGGGGTGGGGACTGCAGGGCCCTGCTCATACCAGGGGTCAGGTGATGCCGGAAGGGACTTGGGCGACATGGCCTTGGGTGGAGAGTCAGAGGAACTGGGCTGGTGTCCTCACATAGGGATGTGTGTGACTCTGGGCAAGTTGCCTCCCTACTCTGGGCCTCTGTGGTCACCTTGGTAAAATGGGGCTGAAAACACTTCCTGGGGTTTGTAAGAGGATCCAAAGGGCCTGTGCACTGTCAAGTTCATGGGAGTGGGAGGCCTGTACACTGTGAAGTGCTAGGGGAGGGCTTCGGTGGCTGCTAAAGCTTTGTCCCTCATGCACAGTCCCCCTTATACCTGACAAGTCCAGGTGTTGGGTCCTGAGGCTTCGGTGTGCCCCACTCTCTATAGGTTGGAGGCTACCTCTCTGGATGCCCCCGGAGGTGGACTGGCAGAGTCTGCCCAGGTGGTCAGGGCAAGGAGGAGAGTAGGAGCCCGGGAGGCCTCCTTCCGGGGCTGGGTTAGCCTGGGGCTGGGAGGAAGATGATGTTGCTGCTTTGTTTTTTGTAGGAGCTGCAGAAGGAGGAGGCCATCAGCCCAGGAGGTAGGTGTGTGTGGTGCGGTGGGGATACCCTCAGGCTGGGAGTGGCCTCCATGCAGGAGTTACCCCTACCCTCTCCTCCATCTTCCTACTCTGCCCCTCCCACCCCTCCTTCCCCAAGTCCTCAGGCAAAACCCATCCTCTGTATCTTGGGGCCCAATTATGTAGTTCAGAGGCCCAAGGGGAACTGCTGCCGAGGCTCCCAGGATTCCCAGCGGCTCCGGGGAAACCCTACTCCCAGCCCCTTGCCATCTCCTCTCAGTTCTTGGGGCTCTCACGCATCGAGGGTTTGACTCAAACCTGACTTACCTGAGTGGAAACTGGGACCAGGGCTTGCTAAGGGGCACATCTTGGACTCCGCTTTTCCTCCTAAGCTTTTTCTCCTGCTGAGCCGTCCACCCTGTACCCAGCACATGTACTTGGCTATAATTTACTCCCTGCCCCTCAATTCTGAGAACTCCAGGGACAGTGGGACAGAGTGGAGCGGGCCATGGGACAGCTGGGCCTGCAGGGGTGTGTGCCCTGCATGCTTTCAGGCTCCTCAACCTGCTGATACTCCAGCTGTCCTGTGAGATGAACAAACATGCTACAGATGTGCAAAATGAGGCTTGGAGTGCAGCCAGATTAGGCAGGAGGTCAAGGGCACAAACCCGTGTTTCATTCCTATCTGCTCCCTTTTCCTCACTGTGTTACCTAGAGCCATTTCCTTGACTTCTCTGAACCATGACTCCCAAATCAAGAAAAACAGGGGAATAATAGCATGAGGGCAGTGAGTTTGGTTTGGTTTGGTTACACACAAGGTTGTTGGGCAGAGTAAGGGAGATGAGGTGCAGGGATGAGTCTCAGTACCTGTGACTGGCACTGAGCGAGGGGATGCTTGTGCCTTAGCCAGCAAGCTGCATTGTCATAGGCAGAGGAGGTCAGGGATCCTGCCTCAGACAAGCTGAGTGCACAAAGCCCCCTCTGGTCTGCTCTGGGGTCAAGGTCTCGGTGTTTGTGGTTTACATCTCACTGGCCGGGCTGTTAGAAAACCCAGTCAAAGGTGCCTTCCCCAGGTGGGTGTATGGTGGCTGCCTCTGGTGCATCGGGTTGGGTGGGAGAGTGGAAATTGGCAGCTGGTGGAGTGAAATGTCACATATCAGATACACATTCCCAGGATGTCCTTCCCCTGCCTGGATCTTGAGTCCCCACATCCCGGCTCCATCTAATCAGACCCGGGGGAAAGTCCTGGTATGATAGGCCCCAGCTGTGGAGGGAGCAGACCCTAGCCACGCCCCTGCAGAGCACACAGGGCACCCCACCTGCCCAAGGCCCACAGAGGAAAACAGCTTCACTGTTGGGCCTAGTGCCTGGAGGGCTCCCACCATCAAGACTTTTACTAAGCATCTGCCCTGGGCCAACAACTCAATGGGGAAGGTGGAACGAGGGCCACCCTGTTCCAAAGAAAACTTTACTCTGGTAGGGGTGGCCAACCCACTCCCTTTAGAGAATTCCAAAGCACCAAACCCCAAAACCCACTGCTGTCAAATTGAATTCAACTCATAGCAACCCTGTAGGACAGAGTAGACCTGCCCCATAGGGTTTTCAAAGCTATAAATCTTTACGGAAGCAGATTGCCACTCTTTGCCCTAAGGAATGGCTGGTGGGTTTGAACAGCTGACCTTTTGGTTACAGCTAACCATTTTAACCATTGTATCATGAGGGCTCCTTTTTCAAAGCCCAGAGGAGGTTAATTAATTCAGCCTCCAACCCTGCACAGAAACTTCTTGATGGCTGGCCACATGACTGCCCCACCTTTAGGCTGTGGTTTATCTGGGTCCCTCGGGCATGGCAAATACCCTTTAGCTAGTAGTAGTTGTCCCATTAGTTGGCACACCTTTGTTCAGGCTGCTAGTGTCCCATGCCACCATGATGTTTCTGCAGAATGGCTGGTGAGTTTGAACCACCAGCTTTCTGGTTAGCAGTCAGATACCTTAGGCACTGTGCTAATAGAGCTCCTTAGTTTGAGAACCAAGGCCCTAGGAAAAGTTACTGCTTCTGGTTGGAGGTGGAATTAATTGACCTCTAGGGTTCTGGTAACATAGTGCCTAAGGCATTCGACTGCTAACCAGAAGGCTGGCGGTTCAAACCCACCAGCCGCTCCTTGGAAGGAAGATTGGGCAACCTATTTCCATAGTGCTATCGCCTCAGAAAACCAAAGAGGAGTCGTTATGAGTCAGATCCAACTCCAGCGCAGTGAGTTTGGTTTTGTTTTTTTTAGGGTTTCTTTGGGATGGAAAATTCTATGAGGCTAAGATTGTGTGACTCCCAGGTTCTGTGGGTCCAAGAGTCTAAGATTCTAGGTGTTTTGGGTTCTTGAATTCTAACTTGTTTTGAGTCTGAGATGGGAAATGTGGTGAGTGGTTGGTTATTTGAGAGAGCAGAAGAAGTTGGGGGACTCCTGGGCTGTCCCTCAGCACTATTTGGTGGACCAGCCACTTGGCTTTACAACCATGTCAACCATCGAGCTCCAGGGACCAGAGTGATGCTTCAGACCTCATTGGAGCTGCTGTAAGCTCCACCAGGCTCCAGGCTGGCTGGGCTGGCACTGCCGAGAGGGGCTCCTTCTCCCTCTCTCCCCCAACTCTGTGCTTCTCATTTCAGTCCCCAACGGCTGGCCTCTACTGGCCCTGGTACCATGGCTAAACCAGGCCGGGACATGGAGCTGAGTCACTTAGTCCAGGATCAGCCACCTGGCCAGGTGGCCCCTGGGCCTGCCCCTCCGAGCTTGGCGGAGCACCTCCCCAATGTACCCAGCTACCGCCCCCCAATCACCCGCATTCCCGTCCTCATCTCCCGGAGAACGACCTTGTCCAACTCCCGCTTCGCCAAGGAGACCAGGAGCTCCATTCGCCGCCTAGGTAGCGTGAGCTTGCCTGCTCCGTGTCCTCGTGTCTGTGATGTGTTGCTTCTGTATGGCTTCTGCATGGCTTGTGCATGGGTGCTGTGGCCCTGTTGTGGAACCACTAGTTGGTCTTATGGAAAACCACTGCCTCTTGCTTTGCTGATCATTGCCTTAATTGTGCTTTGTGGTGGTAACTTGCAAGTATTGTTGTCCTTTTCTCCCCATTCTTGAAATTCCTTAATTAGCATTCCTTTGGGTTGCTTTCTG